ATTTAGTAAATCCAGAGAAATCTCTGTACACAAGGGACAAGGCGAAAAACCGATACTGAACGTCCATGAACTTCTGCCCTCGAAGGGCCCTCTATTACAAACAGGTCTGATTCTGCTAATTGTGAGTCAATTCAAGTCAGGTCAGTTAATTTTTTTTACTCCCAGTTTACAGCAACGGTCACCTCAAGGTGATTTTCTGATTGTTGGGGTTCTAAATCTCCAAACAATGCTTTCGCTGACCCCCACCTCTTTTAGGATGCACCCAGCTAAAATCCAGCATGTGTGAAGGAAAATGATAAAATGGACTTGCTTAGTGCTTTTCTACTCTTACCCAGTACTCAAAGTTCTTTTTACTACAAGTCTCAATGAGCCAGTCACACCCACATTCATTCAAGAGCTTGGTTCTATTCCCTCGCCTTGCCGAACATTCACACACTCACAATCCGATGGATGCATCGAGGAGTCTGTACTTTCCCAGGCATACTTCGCCATGCAGACTGGAAGAACCGGGTTGCCAATGGGGAACTATCTGAGTGGTAGAAGACCGTTACTACCTACTGAGCCACAGCTGTCCCGCTAAAAGACTAATAGTTGCAATGGGGACATCTTAGCAGGCATTCCTAAAAATGCATAATATTAATAGTGAGAAATGCCTGATATGAACTCTTTTTTTCAAGTCAGGCATTACTGATTTCAGCAAGACAATGCCAAGCATTTATCTGCATGAATTCCAACAGCATCCTCCATGGTGAAAAGAGTATGACCCCCTTTCACTCCAGACAAAGCAGACCATGAGCTGTCGGGCAGCTGAAGTGCCGTTTTAAGTAAAAATAGGGAATGATTTTTTGCTTTGACAGCTGTAGCAATTAGTAGAAAAAAAACCTTTAGAGATTGTTATTAAAAGGGTTGATGAAATACAGCTGTAATTTTCTTGAGGAGAGGATGGTTAACACAATAGAACTTACTGGACAATTAATAATTTTTGTGCTGGTCTTCCTGCCCTCTGATTTAAGGAAGTGAAGTTTGTTGGCAAACTGTTTGTAGAGAGAAAAGGTGCTTTCTTTGTGGCATAAAAAAGGAAGTGAGCATTTATTTTCATCAGTCAAAAAGACAGACAATTTTTTTTGAATGATTTCTACCTTTAAAAACTCTTCAAATGACAAATAACATTTTGTTGGTGGATAATGGCAGCTACGCCTGTGTTTGGTGAATGGTGGGTGTCAAGTGCCTTGACACTGAGTTCATCTCCTGTAGTGTGCGGTCCAAAAACTCCTGTTTTGTGGAAGTGAGCTGAAGACCCTTCAACTGTCTCTCAAAATTCAAATATTAGTATTTGGATTATTAGTGGCTCAAATCACATTATTTTAACAAGACATTGACTTGACAGGCATATCTATTGGGTTACAATATTATATATATATTATAGTATATTATATATAGATAGATAGATAGATAGATATATATATATATATAATATATATATAGATAGATAGATAGATAGATAGATAGATATAGATAGATAGATAGATAGATAGATAGATATATAGATAGATAGATAGATAGATAGATAGATAGATAGATAGATAGATAGATAGATAGATAGATAGATAGATAGATAGATAGATATCAGTCCCCACTTTTTTTGTTTATTTTATTTATTTTGTGAGTATGCTTGCAGACCACTTCATTAGTTACAGCTTGCTAATACTGGGCTGAACCCCTGTTTGCCACAAAGTGTTGGAAACATTTCTCAGAGATTTAGGTCCATACTGACATGATAGTATCCATGATGGAAATCTCCAGTTCCACAACATCCCAAATGTGTTCTGTGGGACTGAGATATGGTGATAGCAGAGGCCATTTGAATACAGTGAAGTCATGTTCATGGCATGTTACCCTGCACATCAAACGATCTGTACTCTGGTCATAAAAAGAATGGTCATGGTCAGCATCAACACTCAGAGGCTATAGACCCCAGGACTTTCCTACCTCTTTACTGCCACGCTTTCCTCAAACCAAATCCCTTTTTAAACTCATGCATTTGGTAGACATCTGTCAATGTTTGTACCTGAGACTGACTGTGTCTGTGACACACATCCACATCCAAACAGACAGACAGATACAGCTGCTAAAGTCAAAACTGCCTTTGTGATTCCTCCTGCTACAGTAGACGTGTGCACGCACACACATACACACAAACAAGTGCAAAGTCATAACTGCCTCCAGGCAAACTAAGAGGGGCTTGTTCTGTTTAGAGTGGCCTTCTTCAGAGACTGTGTCACGCAGTCACTGTTTGTGTCACTGAGGCATGTTTGGTGCAGAGTCTGTCCACTGTTTTTTATCAGAGTTTTAGCCGAACATCACTTATTGAAAAGGAGTGCGCGATCCTCTGGGAGAAGAGGAGCAAACAGAAAGGAGAACAAATGAAGCGGCGGCAGCAAATGTTTGGCGCTTGCTGAAGGAGAGACAGAAGAGTTCTTTCAAATTTCAAACGCTGAGGTGAAGTGTTCCTCACCGGCTGTAATACTAACAATGGGGTCCGACTCTTCATCTCTCTTATACTTTTGGGTCTTTTGTTTTTTTTTTAAAGCAGAAAGTGGCAGAATGGATTAGATATTGTTTGCTTTTACATTCTTTTGTGTTTGCTGTCCTTGAACACATGTCCTCCATCACTGTGATGAGTTATTGTGAGTGTGCTAGCGTGAGCAAGAGACAGTCTCATCCATCAACATTTGGACTACCCTATGAAACAGGAATGTTCTGTTTTTAACTAACCTCTGTTCTAAAAAGAAAAGAAAAGAAAACCCATACCTTAACAGACCCAAATCCTCATTTCTCCACGTCAGAGGGGGGTTTTGTGGCGTTATTTCTCAGAGCCTCCGGTGTGTGATGGGCTGTGGGATGTGAGATCCTTGAAAAAACTATGACAGATCAAAAAGACCCTGAAGTAGGAGGGGGCGAAGCAGAAACGTGTTGTGCTGAGTGCTCAGTCATATCCATGTCTCTCTTACTTTCTCCTTGTCTTTTCCTGTTACCATTCCCTTTTAAGCCTTCACCCAGTCTTCTATATCTTTGGGCTTATATTAGATTTTGTATTATGTAAGTCTTCTTTTTCTATTTTAGTTTCTGCTCATCCACTCGTTTCTACAACTCAGCATGCTTTTCTTTCTATAATTTGTCTTTCAATCCACTTAGACACTGTTTCGCTCTGTTCCTACAGAAGCAAACACACCACCAGAACTAACATGCAGTAGAGCCTATACATTTTTCCACCTTGTGTTATACTCTAATATAATGCCACTTTGAGCTTGTCCCTCGTTCACAAGAGGTTACCACAGTGGGTAGCTCTACATGTTTGATTTGGCAGATTTATTTTTTATTTTTTTACACCGGATGCCCTTCCTGACTCAACTCCAGAGGTGTTTCTGCGTCCTTCCAGGAAGGAGAGGTGTTATCCTCATGTTAATGAGGTCAATCAGAAGGAGAATGCTCTGACGGCTTGATTGGCTTTATATAATAACGCTGACCTTCATGTGTGTTTATACATCAAATGATGTTCATGTACTTTATGAATTTATTGAGAGAATGATCATAAACAGATCAAACACCGAACTGCTGTCTTTACCTGAAGTGGTAAAATTATTTCCGCTTAATTCATGTCATTCACTGCTGGGTTTCCTTTGAATGCAACCTAAACACGTTGGTTTATTTTCCGTTTTCCATTTTGAAATCCCTCCCAAGCTAATAAACTGACCTTAGATAATGGTCCATATTTATTAGTGCAAATTGTGTGTTTAAAATGTTTCTTTTCTCAGTACACAGTCCAGGCTTAGACTTTCCCACTGGGTGATTGAAAGGGACTGCTGTTTTCAGTCATGTGGTCACCTCTTTTCTCATGACCAAACCCCTGTTTAGCCTTTTAAATGTCCAGTGTTTTTGCTGCTTTGCCTCAAAATAAACAACTTAAATATCAGGGGGAAAAAAGAAGAAAAAAGAGGTAGTAATTAATAATTAACAGCAGGTCTACTTCTTTGTTTACAGTTTATGCACTTTCCAAATTACTGTACCACCTTCAAAGAACTTATTTAAAGAAATGTATGTTCAATTTTAAGTGCCAGATGTTTGATCTACCTGTCTTGATCTATCTATCTTTCCTTTGTTTTTTTTTTGCTTAACGCTCCATATAAACTCTATAAATGTTGGATATAGCATGTGCTGTTAGAGGACATGGGTCATAGTACATTTCTGTGTTTAAGAAGAGCTGAAACAACTGATTTTGGCTACTCTCTAACCTACAGTATACTGAAATGCTTCTATAGAACCAGCATCAAACTACAAAATAAAGCCAGAATCAGCTAAATTTCACAGTTTTAGTCTTGAGGGCAGCTAAAGCAGTAAAGGCTAATCCCCCTGTTACCGATAGGCTAGCATTTTATATAAGCATCCTCTCCTCTCCTCTCCTGCTGGGTTGAAGGAAAGCTCCTGCGTCATCACAGTGCACCCACATACCTATATTACGTTTAAGATTCCCAGAGTGATTGGGATTAATGCACTTCCACAACCGATCCCTTTGATATTACGGCATAGTTCAAAGAAGGTCATCTACTTCGTAATCCCATACAGCAGGAGCAAAATGTAATGATTATACAGTAATAGTCTTACACACAGTGTGACTCATAGTTGTGAAATATACTCATTTCTGCTCATTGGCTCACACCACAATCTGTATGTGTTTCTCTGAGCCTGTTATGAGCCTAGAGGTCATAGGTAGAGGATTAATTTTCCCAAAAGCATTTTAAGTGCATTCATGGTACTCTAACCGGCCACAGAGCAAAGTGATCAGATGGAGAAACCCGGGCGTGGAGAGACAGAGGGGTTGTATGACATCCTCCTGTCCTATTAGTTTATTGTTTCAGGTGCTCTTTGGAAATGAAATTGTCAAAGAAATCCAAGGAACTCTCTTTTCTAATAATATCTTAAATGGCTTTATTCTCATCTTTAACCTAAAACAAAGCCCTCCCCTGTGTTTTTGGCATACAAGCCTTAATCATCCATCATCATTTATGATGACATAATATCAGTTATCAGAACAATAATCAATGCATCACAGAGACAGGCAAAAGACTGAGAATACATTTCGGTTTCACAATTTTGATTTAATACTTGATCACTTATGTGAAATAAATTTTATTGGCCTGTGTTGTCAGTTCCCTTTTAAAAACCACCAGATTTTACACATACAAGCAAAAGCAGCGTTCTCCACACTATGAGTGTGTTTTCTCTTACTCATAAACAAGCCTGGTAACTGTTACTTTACAGTGCAGCAGTAGGTGTGCGGTATTGATATGCGCTTCCTCATATAAAACATTCCTCAAATAAAATGAAAAATAAAGTGCATTTTTGTTTTGTTTTTATTCATTCTTTGCAAGATATTTATTATATCTAGAAAATATATTTATTAATTGCTTATAATCATTATTATTTGATAGAGTCTTCATTTATTTGACTACTGCTTTCTTGTACTAGTACCATAGTACTACCACTGCAATGTACATTAATTAATGAAGGTCGTGAGATGTAACTGCAAGCCTTAAATTAAATTCAACAATTGGCCCATATGTTAGACCTTTATTACTTTTACGTGTGTAAAAATGGGGGTTTACAAAACAATGTGCTGTTTCTTTCCATGCATGTGATCAAATATCCTCAAGTGGGACTGCAGCTGTTTTAATGGATTATATTTCATTCATTAGCTGTTGATACACCAGCATTCTTTGCATTGGTATTAAAACAAATAATAAAACTTTTTTGAATCACTAACATAGTCTCAAAAAGAGAGGCAAGTTTGTGAGAAGAATGTAAGAGAAGGTAGAGGAAAGAAAGTTCTAATTTTCACTGGAATTATTCAAGATATTTTAAAGTGAAAATCCCAACTTAAAAAGCAATCCTTGGTGAAAAGGCTCCTTGCAGTGATAAAAATTAGATACACTGTAATTTTATCTCACATACGATCACCCAGCAGAGTATCAGCTAACTTGTCATGCCACAGGTGTCACCTGTAAACTGTCATGCTACTGTATGTCTCACATTCCTGTCTGTCCCTAGCCAGCCTGCCTTCATATCTGACCAACCTTGATGCCTTGGGCTTGATGTGTTGCCATGGCAATGCTTCAGATAGCCACCCATCTTGTGAAGGAAGCGGGCCTGATTGGGGCTTCTTCCTGAAAGTTGTTTTCCTCCTTCCTCTTTTAATGCCTGACAGCATTTATCTCTCTATCAATTGTAAGTGGATTTGTGTCTGAGATTTGCTTGATAGATGATAGCAGTTATACAGTGAGGAGGTTTCCTGCAACCCTTTTTATTATGTGGCCTATTTTTCTGAGTAACCCTCTAAACTATGTGCTATTATGAGTGTGCACACATGTGTATGTGTGTGTGTGTACGTGTGTGCGTGTGTGTGGACTAAATTTAGCACAGATTTTCTTGAGGTTGATGATGTAACAAGCTGTCTATGTAGTTCTCAATAAGCCTCGATGGAGAACTGCACAACAATCCTATACAAGAGAAACGAGTTAGACTCCCTCTCTTGGTTTTTCTCTGAGTAATTTTACTTTCACTGTCAGTCTGTTGTTTTTTCTGTCTTTCTCTAACACTCAAGGGACAGAAATAGAGAAGAGAGGAGGCCAAAATGAGAAGAGCCACAGGGAGATTGAGAATGCATCGTATCATAAATGCAATACCAGTTCCCATTTTAGAAGAAAAATGCCCATCTTCTTTTGCTTTCAACTCTGAGGTGGATTTGATGGCTAGACACTGGGCTTCATTTGATACCCATTTGTTTTAAGACCTTAAATACACCATGCACTGATAACCTGAGCATCACTCATCATCATCAGTGTGTTGGCCTGTCAAAGCAAACTGATAAGTTGCCCACTGCTTCGAGTGCTCAAGAACATAGGAAAATCACTCATTCCTTATTATCTATATGAAGATATATGACGAGCCATGTCCTATAAGTGAAAGTGTGATTTTTCATAATGGGCCTCTGCTCTCTTCTTTTCTCGTTTTTGCTTCTAAACAAACATTCACTCATATTTCTTCGTGACAAACTTTGATTGCTTTTATTGTTTCAGTGCTACACAGCTCATGACATGGGACGGAAACCCCGCGTGCCTCATGATAAAATGCATGGAAACAGCACAGGACACGTCTTGCATGGCAATACAACGATGGCTGCCGTCGCATATAAGCTATATACTGTAGCTACAACACTGAATAAACATGAGCTTGTACATTAACAGCGAAAGTTTCTATATTGATTTGTTTCACCGGTGGATTATTTTTACACCATCCTTAAGACACGACTAAAAGGGACTGTCCCTGAATGAAAGTCTGTGTATTGTTGTTGTTGTTGTTTTTTTGTCTTTTTGCTGTTTCTATACAGTCACTGAACATCCCCGCTCTCTGATTAACGTATCCGCATTTAAATAAACGTAAACGTTTTTCTTTTTTCTTTTTTTTTACTCTGGTTATGGTCTGTGGAATTTGCATTTTATAATCTTCTTGAAAGCGTTTTGGAAGTCTTTGTTGAAGTAGGCATATATGATGGGGTTGAGGAGAGAGTTTGAATAGCCCAGCCAGTTTATGACTGCGCCCAGCCACTCGGGCATGTAGCAACTCTCTGCACAGAAAGGCAGTACCAGTGCAACGATGAAAAAGGGCAGCCAGCAGAAGATGAAAGTTCCCATAATGATGCCGAGTGTTTTCACCGTTTTACGTTCCCTGGCCAGCGCGATCTTTCTCTTCGCCCCCGAGTTCTTTTCATTCATGTTTTCATAGCCGTGCGAGGAGGACTGAGGAGTGTTGGGCAGAGGCAAGTGCGTCTTTGAGTTGCTGATAACTTCTATGATCTCCAATGATTCGCCCTCGTCTCCATGCTTCACCGCGCCATTTACGCACGGAGAGCTGGATTTAGACTCATCCCCGCGCTTCCAGCCTTTGCCGCCGGTTTCTCCGTTGGTTTTCTTGTGAAAGATGGCCGGAGACACACTCAAGCACTTTTCTGACACTTTTGCTTTCTCTGCTTTCTTCACTGTCTTTCGAATCCGAAACCGAGCAGCTCTGAATATTCGTCCGTATAGAACTAACATGAGGATAAGAGGGATGTAAAAAGCTCCAAACGTAGAATAGATGGTGTAGCCCGGGTCCTGGCTGATCATGCAGGCGTCAGGGTTTGCCCTGTCTTCGGCGCTTCTCCAGCCTAACATAGGCGGAATAGAAATGGAGAAACCAATTAGCCAAGTGACGCTAATCAAGAACGCAGCTCTCCTTGGTGTCCGTTTATTTACATAGTCAATAGGGTCCGTTATGGCCCAGTACCTGTCCAAAGCAATTGCGCACAGATGCAGGATGGATGATGTACAACACAGTACATCCAGAGAGATGAATAAATCACAGATCTCCTGCCCCAGAGTCCACTTGTTTAAAACCTGATACAGGGCCGCCATTGGCAGGACCAGCACAGATACCATGAGGTCTGTCACGGCCAGGGATCCGATCAGATAGTTGGCCACATTCTGGAGAGATCTCTCCAGGGCGATGGCTGCCACGACGCACGCATTGCCAAATATGGAGCAGAGGATGAGGGCCCCCAGGAGCATTGAGGTAATAATCTGGTAACTTAGCATCAGATCTGGAAGAGACCCGGACCCCGTGCCATTCTCACCCCCGTTCCAGTCGGCAACCACGTCCCCCCCACTGGGGTAAACACTGGTCGCGTTGCTGTCGTTGTTGCTTGTGGTTATAAAATCCATAATGCAACCACACTCAGAGCGAAACTTTTCCCAAAGTAGTGGGGAGTAGTGGAAGAATAAGCAGGAGTCAGTCAGCCCCCTCAGACTGCTGCTGCCGCTGTGCGTTTTACCGGGTCCATCGGAGTTACCGGGCTCGTGCTGTCGCTCTCAGGACGCATGACGCAGACGTGCTTGTGAGTGCGTGTGAGGGGGCTGTGTATGTTGTAGCCCATGAGTGTTGACAGCCGGGTGCACACACTGGTACTGCGAATCATCTGAGCTTGGTGACGCTGTGAATTCATTTATACCAACAGCTTTAGGTACGTCAGACCGGGAGGAGGTCGTCCTGGAGGTTTGTGCCTTTACTCTCCCTGTTGCTCAGTTTTTCATCACAGACCGCCGCCGAGAGAGCTACTGTCCTTTTTGTATCTCCTTTATTTTACTCTTTGGACTCACTGAAAAAAGTATTTTGTTTAGTTATTCATTTTTTTAAGTTTAGTTTTAGCCTTCATCGGAAAGGGTCATCAGCCAGAACCAGTAACCAGGAATTTTTCCTTTCTTTTTTTTAATATAACGAGATATCAGAAAATTAACTATCAAATGAAGCAAATTTGTCGTTGGGCTACCTAAGACGGATACATTTTAAAAAAGAGTATCGCCGGTTCCCATGAAGTTTTTGTGTAAAGCAACTTCGTTTGAAACGGATCTTTAAAAAATATTTTAAAACAGTTTGAACTAGAACCGAGTAATTCGTACAGCGTGTTTACGAGTGGAGCTTTGCAATTTTGATGTGAAAGGGAGAAAAGTTCAAATGTCCAGAGCGCTGAGAGAAAATAGTTTCAGGACCAGGAACAGCTCCTCTGCAGTCCTGAAAGGAATGCTGCTGCCCTCTGCTGTACGCGAATGATATTGCACCAAATGGTGGACGTTGCTCCATCAGCGCATATGAGTTCAGGGTAGGTTGTGTGAGTACATTACAGGAAGGAGGGGGTTCCCTTGAAAACAGCTGTAGCCGTTGCCTTGTGCTCAAGTGTATTCGAGCCAACAAATAATGTCAGTTATGAGTCAGAGTGGAGTCTGAATAAACGCAGTTAGTGAGGAACTTCTCAAAGGGGAGGGATGGAGGCTGTGGGTGAGTGTCTGTTATGAGGTGATTGTATGAAAGATGAGTGAGTCTAAAAAACGTATTTAAAAAAAATCTTAAAAGTTCTCATTGGAATTCCACGCAGAGGCCCTATGGCCAGGTGATAATTAAAAATTTAAAAAGAAAAGATATTTAGATGCAAAATGTCAATTTAGGAAAAGGCCCATGAAGTGAAAATTGCAAAAGCTAGAAATGACAAAAGCTTAAATGGACAACAAAATGTGTACAAACAGAGCACATAGTGGGCAATTTATATTTTCTGTATTTGTTGAAATACGTTTTTTCCTACAAATTACAATTACAATCCTAATTTGGGATAAGACTCATCCAACATCCCAGCCTGTGCCTCCAGGTGCCCTCCTCCTCCCCACCAAAGATAATACTCAACATGTTTGAAAAAACTCCAAAGTTCTGTTTTAAAAAAACCTTGTTCTGCCTTCTTTTTGTTGGATGGTTTCAGTTTTTAGACACTTTGATTTTAACTGCGAGAATCTGCTGTGTTGGTTATACTGGAGTTTAAAATCAAAATGGATGTATTGTTTTCCCATCCCTCTGAAGCTTCTGAAATACCAGTACAATGATTAGATTAGAAAGTCTCATGCTCTTTCTGTATAGTACTTCCAGTGTGTGTGGAAATCAGCTGACACGACACAGGTAAATATAGCCTTGCGTTAAATTTGAAGGGGGAGGGTGTGCAAGGATGTTTTAAAACATATTACCACTTTCAACCAAAGAGTGGTGAATCAGAAAGAACAAAAAAGTAAATCAAACTAAAATTTGGGGTTGTCACTGTGCCATAAATGGCACTTCTTCTCTTCCTTTTTCAAGGTACTTGGCAGGTAGGTTGTACAAAGCATCTTTGAGTGCTTGCCGCTGTTCTTTTGTATAACATCTGACTTTTATTTGTCTCTTGATGTAATTCCAGATTGACTGCTTGGCATTGAGGGAGCCACTCAATTTTCTCAGAATGTCAGCGAAACCAAAATCTAAGTAACAGAAGTACTTATTAAAATGACAATTTTATCAAAGACAGACACCTTTAAAGGGATACAAATCACCCTTTCTTGTCATTTGTCTTTGAAACAATTAGACATGACAGTCACTGCAAAAATGATAAAAGCATGTAATAAAAGCTAAGTGCTGAAAAAAATGAGGATAAATTTAGTGCTTTCATTTAACTGCTCTATAAGTGATGGATAAAAGATCAGATTGCCAGGAAATGATAAATACATTAAAGAGACAAGACACTAGACTGACGCAACAAACTGACAAAACAACTTGGCAAAAGATGAGAGGAAATGTCAAGAATACAATGAGAATGAAGGAATAGAAAACAGGTGAGGGAGGTGTGAAGAGCCACCTTCACAATGGGAAAGGGTGGAAAGGATGATTATTTTGATAAATACTAATATAAAACTTCATGTAATAACCTTTTTAATAGAACCTCAGTTATAAAGCAGACTCCTTAAATTCCAGTAACCAAGAACTGATAAATTGTTGGGATTTTGTCTGATTGTTGGATTTTCCTCTGTATTATTGTCACATCTTTACCCTACAGTATAAAGCACCTTCAGGCAACTGTTGTTGTGATTTTTGCCCATATAAATAAAAATGCATTTAATTGAATGTTTTTCATGCAGATCTTTTTTGAATTCAGGAAAAATAAATTCTGCTATGCTAGACCACTGAAATGCTTTAACAAGGAAGCAGCAGCAACACACACACACACACACACACACACACACACA